TTTTTTGGTTTTTCGAGACAGGGTTTCTCTGTGTAGGTTTGCGCCTTTCCTGGATCTTGCTCTGTAGACCAGGCTGGCCTCGAACTCACAAAGATCCGCCAGGCTCTGCCTCCCAAGTGCTGGGATTAAAGGCTTGTGATGCTTTGTAAATGGACGTTTCCTGTCCCTCATAGTGTAGAAAAGGATTGTTCCACAGCAATGCACATACATAAATGCATGCAAAACACCCATCCATACACTTCAAATACAAATAAAGGTCAATTAAAACAATGTTTTCAGTTTTACTAAATGATTTCTAGCCTGCTATGCCGAGAAATAAACATTGTCATGCCCCACTGTGATTGTTAAATGCTTATCTTCTGAGACTTTAAATTTCCAGCCATAAGTGTTACCTATTCTACTGAGCATACTATTACCGTGAACATTACTACTTCTAGATACTTAGAATATATTAGTTCAAAGTTAACCAAGAAGCTCCACGAGACTTTACATTTCATTGAAATAGCAAATACTTGAAAAGTAATTCAATTTTAAAAGTTCAGATTTGTTTGTACACAGGTTTTTGTTTGCATATTAAAGCCTTTGCTTTAAGCCAGATAAACAAAATGACAAAAGCAGAAAATGTACTCACTGGGTTCATACTTTGTAGGTTAAAAATTGAGAATTTCATGCATGCATGTTTTCATCAAATCCACTCCTCCCTCCGACTTCTCCCATATTCCCACCCCCTTCCCTCCCAACTTTCTGTACTCTTTTTCATCCCACTGGGCCCACTTAATGCTGCTGTGTGTTCACAGGCCATCTACTGGAGCATGAACAGCCAACTGGAATCTGAAGTCCTGAACCAAACTGGCAGTCTTCCTTACCCAACAGCCATCAATGGCAGTACTCTTCAGCTAGGGCGGGGCTTCATAAACCTTCCCCTCATCCTTGCCTAGATATTAAAATTTTAAGTTTTATGAAAATGTCTTCATGAAGGAGTGGTAGAGTTCCTAAATTCTTACCATCTTTGACAGTCATTGGACTTTTATGGGAGAAACATACTTATGTAGAAGAAGGAGTATGAGCTTTGGAATGGTAAGTTAGAAACCAAGAGTCTTTGGCTCCAGCTCTAGTACTAATTCATCTGATGTAGTAGACACTATTTCTCTTCAAATGAAAGCGTTGAGCTACAATTGTTTTAATGTTCTAGGATTTAATTATACATTGATTTTGTTGTTTCCAAATTAAAAAAAAAAACCTTGTATTGCTCTGTAATAAGCATATTATTTGGAATACCTTTACTAGGAACAATCCTCAAACACAGAGAACATCTTCCCACAGTGTTTAACAGGGAGTGTGGGTGCATCCTTGGGGTCATGGGCATACATGTACTGAATAACTGTATGAACTGGGTTACTCACAGATGTCCTAACTTCATCTTCTCATGCGGAGGAACAAATCCAGATATTACTATTTTCAAGATGATACATCACAAATGAATTTCAAATACGTTATATCTAAGGGTTGTTCATCATCCCCACTACGGAACCTATGAAGGGAACAATCTGTAGAGGAATGCTGTAGCTGATGCCTTCATTTAGCTCCCATTTATTCTGAATCCCATTTGTGTTTAACAATGCTGTTGTTGAGACAGCATTCCAGATCAAAGTGCTGTTGTTAGTTATTTAGATTAGATTCAAGCTACAAAATACACACATATACACACACACTCATGCACACGGGATAAGCAGGTGTTGATAAAAGTCAATAAATGGTCCTAGAGTGAAAGGAAATCCTGTCTCATTTATGCAGGAAATTAGTTAATAATTCTAGTAAGGTTTTCTTGTCTTTGCCTGGACACATCTAATGATGGAAAACATATCGACCCCGATCATCTACTCACTACTGTTTT